TGAAATATCGCGATATTTCAGTGTATCAATATTTTCTTACACCCCTAGTAAATGATGTCATGGACAGGTCCTCGGTGTGAGGCTGCTAGCGAGCTATATCCACCCTGAAGGTTAATCTTGGACATTATCTGACAATTGGCTCTTTTAAATGAAAGCAGAGAGTGCTGACAGAGAGGAGAAGGTAGAAATGATTCAGTCTGCAATTGAAAATATGGATGGAGGACAACAGAGCGGCTTCATGGAAGAAGAACCTCAGCTTAGCCTGCTAGCTTTAGCATTAGCCCCAACGCTATCACCTTATATATGTATTAGCACAGTGCTACACATTCTCTTCTCATCACTGAGGTCCTCCATCCACATGACAGAGAGGGGAATGCAAAAATGACTCAGCCTGCAACTGAAAAMATGGATGGAGGACCTCATTTTAGCTTGTTTGTCACGTTAGCGCCAAGCTAATACATATAAGGCAATATAGAGTCGGCGCTAGTGTGGCTGTGGCTTCACTAACACTTCACTCTTGTTAAAAACCTTCAAAATGTTCATAATTCTTTACTTACATTATGTTCTAGTTCTGCTTTATTTAACTACATTGTGCTATCTTCACCTTCTATTAAGCTGATTTTATTAAATGTTTTTTTGATTTTTCTGCTTACCGGTATTTCTACTTTTTCTGCTCAGCTTCATTTAGCTATTTTAAGATTGTTTTAAGCTTTCAACTGTTTTTTTTTTTGCCAATTTCAGCTGTTTTCTGTGTTTTTAGCTACTCTTTTATATAATTTGAGATTTTTTTCAACTAAATTAACTTTTGTGATAATTTCAGCTTCTTACTGCTTAATTCAGCAAACATGCTGTGTATTTATTTTCATCTTTTTTAGTTTAAGCAGCATTCACACTATTTTAACAGGAAATGCACATTTTCTAGTTAAAAACAGTGATTACTTTTATTATTATTGAGTATTTTAAAGTCAGTCTCATGTTTTTCAGTTTAAAACACTGTTAGTTGGTTAGTAAATCCAAAACACACTGTTAATTTTAACTCCTACACTTTATTTTAGTTAATATCTTCAGAGGTGCAGTAGCTCTCTGTTGTGGTCTTCTTCTGAGGCTGTGAATTTATTTATTAGCCTTTATTTAACCAGGTAAATCACAGATCTCTTCTGAGAGGGAGGCCTGACAGCAACGTACACGCTGGGATCAAGCCCGGGTCGCGTAAGAGAGGGCATCCAGACCACCAAATTATCTGTTGCTATGGCGACCCCTGGAGGAGCGAGACGCTYTCAACCTGGACTTTGTTTAAATCTTCATTTCATTAAGCTAAACTATCATGATGAGRCTGTTTCCACCTGGTAACAAACATGGATTTAAATGTGCAGCTCAACTGATCGGCTCTTTATAAACCTTTGAAACATTTGGAACTGTTTGTGCGGCAGCTCTGCTCTCACCTCCAGCTGTTTAATCCTCTCCTCGTCCTCACATGTTCGCTCCTCGTCCACCTCGATTGCTTTCCTCATCACTGAGGCCATCTCGTTTATTTTATCTATGTGTGCTTGCATTTCCTGCAAAGATAAGACAATATTACATTTATTTTAAGAAAAAGGAACAATTTTTTTAAGCATCTTCTGAAACGTCGTCTTTACGAAACTTCAAAAAACTGGATGGAAACTCGGTGGCTGACCGTGGTGTGCTGCTCCTTCAGCTGCGTGACGATGGCGGGGTCGTCTCTTTTGCTCGCCATTAGTAGCCGAAACACCTGCTCTCTGTATTTGGTCATGATGAGCTCTATTGCAGACTGGTGTTCTTCTAACGACGTTCGTAGCTCTGCAGGAACAATCCCAAACGACATGTAAAATATTTGTTTTTAGAAATCTCATCCTTTGTACTAAAGATTGGAGGGACCATCCAGCCTGTTTTTAGCTCTCTGTCTAAAACTTTGTCTCTCTGTTGGTATAGGGGTGCATTAGTGCTGAAGGCATGGTTTTATTGCAACATTTGCTCCCAACCATCACCTAAATAAATAAATAAATAAAACAGAAATGATAAACAACTCTAATCCTACATTAGATAGTAATAAACAACATTCTTCTGCAAAAACCTCCTCAGGTTTATAAGATTTTGAAATCATCATGTTCCATAATGAACCCAGAGTTAACACCAACAGGTTAAGTCTACCTTTGTTCTCCTGTTGGAGTTCTCTGATCTGACGGTTCTCCTGCTGGATTCCCAGGACCAGACTGGAGCGAGGCCGGTGGCGTGCGACCTGGTTCAGCGCATCGATTTCTTCCTGGTACTGCCAACAGGAAATAATCAGCGAATAAATAAACAAACAAACAACTTTTACATCATTTTCTGTGTAGGGTTTTTGTTTTTCCTTGTGATATTTCTGTTTATTAAATGGTTGTATTTCGTGTCTGTCGGTCCATCTTGCTCCTTTACAAAGCTTCTTCTCTCACATGAGCCACAACACCTCGACTCTCTGGTAAAACGTCACCCCCTGGTAGTAAAAATTTTTTTTATTTCACAGTCAGCCTACCTGCTTCATGGCCTCCACTCGCTTGTTGAGCGATGTCGTCTGTTCAATTAACATCTCAGCAGCGTTGTCATGGTTACGGAGCCTTTCCACCAGCGATTTGGCATCCGCCAGAACCTTCTCTAAGGTGCAGTTCATACCTGAGGAAACACTGGTCACAAGCAGGACAAACTATAAGAAATACATTTTTAACCAGGATTTTGCTTGAAGTAATAAATAAATATATAAACACTTTTGTATATATTCCCTTTGATAAAGAYATATCTATTGTAAATCTTTTAAGGTATGTGAACGCATCACAGCTAGCATCGAATTAGTTGCTACAGCAGTTTGGTCTGAAAATGTTGACTTGAGTGAGGAATATTTAAAAGTTAGCCATTTATAATATCTGAAAAAGGATTTAACCAAAATTCATTTTAGTGCATTTGAAGGTTTTGTGTTTGCAAAAAGATGAAATGGGGGAAAATATGCTTACAAATGACATTGGAGTCAATTAAAATTATTTTTGCACAAATACATCTGTCCAGAAACCTGCAGGATTTACTTCCAGTGACAGTGTAACAAACATGGTACCACTACAGTGATCAATTCTGCAAGCTGTTTTATCATCATTTCTGATTGATGTCAGTTATAGGCTCTAATTAAACAAGAAGAAGTCAAACTGAACGTCCTCATATGACGAATAAAGATAAAATATGTGATCTTTCAGCTTTGTATCTACAAGAGATTTAGTTAGCATGTTGCTAACTTAAATATACTCCCTCTCTTATCTTCATATTTCTGTTCGCCAATTCGACAACAAATTATCAAGTTGTAACACTGTATTTTAATTTTAATAATAGGATATAATTGTAGTTTTATGTTTCAATAAAACAAATAATTACTGCTCCTAAGAGACTGACATGATTAGCATAACAAGTCATAGTAAATTATTATTTACTTGTATGTTCAAGCAAAACCAATCGCTTAAAGCCCAACAAGCTCCTGTAACATTCAAAAATAAGTTCTTTRTATTAATTTAAAGACTGAAAAACGAAACTGTCGTACCTGAAAAGATCAAAGTGCTTGAGTTGAGTTACTTCCTGTTGATATTTAGTAGCTAACGTTTGCTACAGGCTAACATTAGTTCCCAATAAGAGGCTCAGCTGTGGTTCCGTTGCTTTCCGACACGCAATAAAATACCATTAGATGCGAAAATATTGATTCAAACACGCTTTACATTAGTTGACCCAAGCTCTGAGAYTGGCTTTTAAGCAGCCGATTCGTCTAAACTCAGAGCTATCGAACTACCGCTTACTTCCGCGAGACTTTGAACTCTCGCGGTATTAACGCAAGACATTATTACAGGAAAATATGGCGGACAGGCTAACGCAACTTCAAGATGCTGTCAATTCTGTAAGCAAAATATCTTACATAGACTGTAACAGAATGCAATACTAAGCAATATATCGCTTATTATTTCAAAAATAATTTAGTAAATACATTTTAATAAGTAGTAGCAGCTGTAGCAACGACCCTATTCAGTAATTTAAAGCTAGCTAAAAGCTAACTAGCTAGTTTGAGCTTATTTAAAGTTTAAAACTTTTGTGTCAAAATGTGGTGTCAAGAGACACATTGCAGTGACGCTGGTTCAGCAGAACTGTTGGTAAAACACTGCAGCTTCTGCCTGTTGTCCTTTGCTTCATGAGTTAAACGCTTGTTTCCAGCTTGCTGATCAGTTCTGTAACGCCATCGGTGTTCTGCAACAATGTGCGCCACCTGCGTCCTTCAGTAACATCCAGACAGCAATCAACAAAGATCAACCAGCAAATCCTACTGAAGGTTTGTTAGTTTTTTATCGATTCACTGTAAGAAACCATGTCGGTGTATACATGTTTTTTTTCTCCCGTTGTTTCTCCAGAATACGCCCAGCTGTTTGCAGCTCTTATAGCGAGAACAGCCAAAGATGTGGACGTTCTGATTGACTCTCTGCCCAGCGAGGAGTCCACAGCAGCTCTGCAGGTCAGCACGTTCTCACAGTGTCACAGCATCTGGTCAGAAAGTCTGACCTGCTGACGTTTTCACGTTTTTACATCTCAATATACAATATACAATCAAATTCACTAAAACCTCCACAACGCTGCTGACTCTGTAGCTGCTTTATAACAATAAATTTCATTCTTTACCACTAAATAACCTTGTTATTTAAAATTATATTTTGACCCTCTTGTGGGACTCCTAACCTTTCTTGCTTTAATCTCCAAGTTATGACTGGTATGTACATTCCACGCAGATGAACAGTTGTTGTTTTTTTGCACTTGAAGACGTGTCTACAGTCTCACTTCAAGCATAAAAAAAGCAAAGTGGTATGAGGGATTTCTGGGAACTGGTGTGAAAATTGTTTTCTTTATATCCGGCTTATAATAATGGAGGCGTTTCCTTCCTTSCACATTATCACTGTGGGACAGGAAATCTGCGTGCAGCTCAGCAGAAAAAAAGCACAAGGCAGCGGCTCTTATTGCTCACTCTTTGTCGCACACAATCATTTAAAAGATTAGCTGATTTATTTAGTTTCACCAGCAGATCTTCCCTACGGGGGTGGGGGGGATCTGTGCGAAAACCAGAAACTAATGCTGAAAACATTTGTTTCAATGTCTCAGTTCTGCATGTTTTACTCGTTTCTCTGCTCCAACACACCTGATTCATACCTCTTTAAGTTCTGCTGCAGTCTGTCAGTCAACCGTTCATTCAAATCAGGTGTTTTGGAGCAGAAAATAAAAACTCTCCAAAGCCTGCAGGATACTGGCCCTCGAGGACCTGGATTGGATGCTCCTTCATCTTTCAGTCAGCAGAGAGCGCCACTTGAACGTGTTCAATTCAAGCTTTTTATTCATTCTGGCTCACTCTGCTGGAGTTTATGGAGTATCTGAGCTTTAAATTTGAAATGCCTTGTGTTTTCTGTTTCTTTGKGAGGAAGTAAACTTTATTAATAAAACAAACGTGTCAGTACAGTACTTTGTAAAAACAATCATACATTGACTTTCTGTCATCTGGCGTCTAAAGCCTAAGCAAGGAGGATAAAGGTGCAGTATATGTACAAATTTAAACAATAAAAAATAAGGGTATATATTTTAACAAATAGGAGTGAGAAAAACAAATAAACTAATTTAAGAAGTAAGTTAAAACAAACTGAATATTTTAATAAGTAAAAAGCCTTATGAAAGTGAGGAGTACACGGAATAACATGTTTGTGCTTTATTGGTTCTCACTATGTTTAGGGATGTTTTTAAATATTTGAAGATCATTTACAAATGCTTTGAAGCTGAGTGAAACCTTTAGAATTCGAGCTTAATGGATGTAAAATTTAGCTAAACAGTGTTGCATTGCAACAAAGTTCTTATTTTAATGCACAAGTCTTTGGGCAGAAAAGGATTTCTAGCCATTTTGAAGTGGGGCTTATGTAGAAAGGTAAAAAACAGTGTTTTACCTGCGGTAAATAGCTGTTTGAACAACCATGTCTTAAATAAATTAAATTAAATTAAATTAGCTTGTCAACGGTCCAAGTAGGACCAGTTCTAAACCAACTCCAGTCTTTTAAATTGACCTTTTTATTTACTAACACGCACACAAAGTCGGTATGATACAATGCATTGTGGTCTACATATATACCTTTACAGTTTGTTGAAATCCACTCAGTCTAAACTGTTTATCTACAGACTTCTTGAGTAGGACGCTGGAGTCATTTCCCAGCGTATACATTACACACAGATGTTGTTGAACACAGATTATTTAACACTGATCACTGATAAAAATATCTTATTAGCATCACAGGCATGAAGTTATAATCAGAAGCAGCAATGAATCAGTTTTGTAGAGCGAGATAACATCCGTTTTCAAGAATCTAACGAAGAATTATTTCACAATGAATTTAYCTGTATTCATCTTGCAGCAGGACAAAATGTCCAGCACTAACAGGACACAGGCTTCATTTTGCCCATTTGCCTTTGATTTTTGTTTTTAAACATCATATATTTAACACTTTGTTTTGATACTTCAATGACAGAGTATTAGGGCCACACAAGAAGATGTTTTTATTATTATTACGCGATTAAAGTCGTAATTTTAGGAGAATAAAGTCATAATATTACACAAGAAGATGTTTTTATTATTATTACGCGATTAAAGTCGTAATTTTAGGAGAATAAAGTCATAATATTACGAGATTAAAGTTGTAATTTTATGAGAATAAAGTCATAATATTACGAGATTAAAGTTGTAATATTATGAGATTAAAGTCATAATTTTAGGAGAATATAGTCATAATATTATGAGCATAAAGTCATAATATTACGAGAATAAAGTCATAATATTACGAGAATAAAGTCGTATTACGAGCATAAAGTCGTATTACGAGCATAAAGTCATAATATTACGAGAATAAAGTCATAATATTACGAGAATAAAGTCATAATATTACGAGAATAAAGTCGTATTACGAGCATAAAGTCGTATTACGAGCATAAAGTCATAATATTACGAGAATAAAGTCATAATATTACGAGCATAAAGTCATAATATTACGAGCATAAAGTCATAATTTTACGAGAATAAAGTCATAACATTACGAGAATAAAGTCGTATTACGAGCATAAAGTCATAATATTACGAGAATAAAGTCATAATATTACGAGAATAAAGTCATAATTTTATGACAATAAAGTCGTATTACGAGCATAAAGTCATAATATTACGAGAATAAAGTCATAATATTACGAGAATAAAGTCATAATA